ACCATATTCCACTACCCGCTTTATTAGCCTGTGTTTTAAGAGGCTTTTTAACTTTACAATTGTTTTGGTAAACTCTCTAATACTTTACCAATATTTGACCACACTTTCTTAATTTTTTTGGTGTACAACAGTTTGCTGCATCTACTTTTATTCTCTTTCTTACCTATTATCAACCTAGACTGCAACCCAGTCTACCATATTCCACTACCCGCTTTATTAGCCTGTGTTTGAAGAGGCTTTTTAACTTTACAATTGTTTTGGTAAACTCTCTAATACTTTACCAATATTTGACCACACTTTCTTAATTTTTTGGTGTACAACAGTTTGCTGCATCTACTTTTATTCTCTTTCTTACCTATTATCAACCTAGACTGCAACCCAGTCTACCATTTTCCACTACCCGCTTTATTAGCCTGTGTTTTAAGAGGCTTTTTAACTTTACAATTGTTTTGGTAAACTCTCTAATACTTTACCAATATTTGACCACACTTTCTTAATTTTTTGGTGTACAACAGTTTGCTGCATCTACTTTTATTCTCTTTCTTACCTATTATCAACCTAGACTGCAACCCAGTCTACCATATTCCACTACCCGCTTTATTAGCCTGTGTTTTAAGAGGCTTTTTAACTTTACAATTGTTTTGGTAAACTCTCTAATACTTTACCAATATTTGACCACACTTTCTTAATTTTTTGGTGTACAACAGTTTGCTGCATCTACTTTTATTCTCTTTCTTACCTATTATCAACCTAGACTGCAACCCAGTCTACCATATTCCACTACCCGCTTTATTAGCCTGTGTTTGAAGAGGCTTTTTAACTTTACAATTGTTTTGGTAAACTCTCTAATACTTTACCAATATTTGACCACACTTTCTTAATTTTTTGGTGTACAACAGTTTGCTGCATCTACTTTTATTCTCTTTCTTACCTATTATCAACCTAGACTGCAACCCAGTCTACCATATTCCACTACCCGCTTTATTAGCCTGTGTTTTAAGAGGCTTTTTAACTTTACAATTGTTTTGGTAAACTCTCTAATACTTTACCAATATTTGACCACACTTTCTTAATTTTTTGGTGTACAACAGTTTGCTGCATCTACTTTTATTCTCTTTCTTACCTATTATCAACCTAGACTGCAACCCAGTCTACCATATTCCACTACCCGCTTTATTAGCCTGTGTTTTAAGAGGCTTTTTAACTTTACAATTGTTTTGGTAAACTCTCTAATACTTTACCAATATTTGACCACACTTTCTTAATTTTTTTGGTGTACAACAGTTTGCTGCATCTACTTTTATTCTCTTTCTTACCTATTATCAACCTAGACTGCAACCCAGTCTACCATATTCCACTACCCGCTTTATTAGCCTGTGTTTTAAGAGGCTTTTTAACTTTACAATTGTTTTGGTAAACTCTCTAATACTTTACCAATATTTGACCACACTTTCTTAATTTTTTTGGTGTACAACAGTTTGCTGCATCTACTTTTATTCTCTTTCTTACCTATTATCAACCTAGACTGCAACCCAGTCTACCATATTCCACTACCCGCTTTATTAGCCTGTGTTTGAAGAGGCTTTTTAACTTTACAATTGTTTTGGTAAACTCTCTAATACTTTACCAATATTTGACCACACTTTCTTAATTTTTTTGGTGTACAACAGTTTGCTGCATCTACTTTTATTCTCTTTCTTACCTATTATCAACCTAGACTGCAACCCAGTCTACCATATTCCACTACCCGCTTTATTAGCCTGTGTTTTAAGAGGCTTTTAACTTTACAATTGTTTTGGTAAACTCTCTAATACTTTACCAATATTTGACCACACTTTCTTAATTTTTTTGGTGTACAACAGTTTGCTGCATCTACTTTTATTCTCTTTCTTACCTATTATCAACCTAGACTGCAACCCAGTCTACCATATTCCACTACCCGCTTTATTAGCCTGTGTTTTAAGAGGCTTTTTAACTTTACAATTGTTTTGGTAAACTCTCTAATACTTTACCAATATTTGACCACACTTTCTTAATTTTTTTGGTGTACAACAGTTTGCTGCATCTACTTTTATTCTCTTTCTTACCTATTATCAACCTAGACTGCAACCCAGTCTACCATTTTCCACTACCCGCTTTATTAGCCTGTGTTTTAAGAGGCTTTTTAACTTTACAATTGTTTTGGTAAACTCTCTAATACTTTACCAATATTTGACCACACTTTCATAATTTTTTTGGTGTACAACAGTTTGCTGCATCTACTTTTATTCTCTTTCTTACCTATTATCAACCTAGACTGCAACCCAGTCTACCATATTCCACTACCCGCTTTATTAGCCTGTGTTTTAAGAGGCTTTTTAACTTTACAATTGTTTTGGTAAACTCTCTAATACTTTACCAATATTTGACCACACTTTCTTAATTTTTTTGGTGTACAACAGTTTGCTGCATCTACTTTTATTCTCTTTCTTACCTATTATCAACCTAGACTGCAACCCAGTCTACCATATTCCACTACCCGCTTTATTAGCCTGTGTTTTAAGAGGCTTTTTAACTTTACAATTGTTTTGGTAAACTCTCTAATACTTTACCAATATTTGACCACACTTTCTTAATTTTTTGGTGTACAACAGTTTGCTGCATCTACTTTTATTCTCTTTCTTACCTATTATCAACCTAGACTGCAACCCAGTCTACCATATTCCACTACCCGCTTTATTAGCCTGTGTTTTAAGAGGCCTTTTAACTTTACAATTGTTTTGATAAACTCTCTAATACTTTACCAATATTTGACCACACTTTCTTAATTTTTTGGTGTACAACAGTTTGCTGCATCTACTTTTATTCTCTTTCAGTTTCAGTTTCAGTTTGGGAAGGACAGGAGGCTCGACGGCCTATGTTAGTCCTGGCAATGGTGGTCTCTCAGTTGATCCAACTTTCTTTTGAAAGTGTCGACGGATGGAGCCTCAACCACGTGCTGAGGTAGTGAATTCCACTCGTTGATTATTCGATGGGAAAGTCGATAGTCAGCTGACAAGTAATTTGTTCTCGGCTTGTGAACTTTTTTGGAGTGTCCTCGTAAATTCTCTGTTTTGGAAGACAAGAAAAATGCGGGCATGTTAGGTGCAAATTTATCACTAAGCAATTTGTAGACTGTAATCAAGTCACCTCTAGTTCTGCGATAAGATAACGGGAAAAGGTTCAGCTTGGCCAGTCGAGATTCATACGGAAGCTTTGCTATTCCGGGAACCAGCTTAGTCGCCGTTCTCTGAACCTTTTCCAGAAGCTCACTGTCTTTTTTTAAGCAGGGGCTAGCCGCTTGTATGCAGTACTCAAGTTTAGGACGAACGAACACTGTATACAAAGTCAAAAACGTCTTTGCGTCGACATGACTAAAAGCCCTACGTATTGACCATAACGATCTAAAACTTTTGGCGACTATTGCACGGCAGTGTGCAGTAGTCTTTAAGTCTTGACTAACGATAACGCCTAAGTCATTATATGTCTGGACGACAGGTAGCTCAGTGTTATCCATCGTGTATGTATTTGTGCCTTGATGACCGATATGCATCACAACACACTTGGAAGTATTTATCGGCAACTGCCATGTTTGAGACCATTCAGATAACTTCTTCAGGTCATTTTGAAGTTCTAAGCTATCACTCTTACATCGTATCGCTTTCCATATCTTGACATCGTCAGCATATAGCAAGACCGATGATGATAGGAGACAAGGAAGGTCATTTACATACAAGAGGAATAGCACTGGCCCCAAAACTGTACCCTGGGGCACTCCACTAAGCACAGTTTCCCAGCTAGATAACTTTGAGTTCACCCGAACTCTTTGTTGTCGCCCAACTAAGAAGTCTTTTATCCACATCAATAAATTGCCTCCAATCCCGACTTTTCTTAACTTATATAACAGCCGGTTGTGCGGAACTTTATCAAAAGCTTTACTGAAATCAATGAAGGCGACGTCTACAGGTAGCTTTTGGTCCTTAAGAGCGCACCAGCTTTCACGAGCCACTAATAAGTTAGTGAGACAAGAATAACCTATTCTGAAGCCGTGCTGCTTCTCCGAGAGGATCCGGTATTTATCGAGATACTTAAACAGCTCCTCCCTAATAATCTTACCTATTATCAACCTAGACTGCAACCCAGTCTACCATTTTCCACTACCCGCTTTATTAGCCTGTGTTTTAAGAGGCTTTTTAACTTTACAATTGTTTTGGTAAACTCTCTAATACTTTACCAATATTTGACCACACTTTCTTAATTTTTTGGTGTACAACAGTTTGCTGCATCTACTTTTATTCTCTTTCTTACCTATTATCAACCTAGACTGCAACCCAGTCTACCATATTCCACTACCCGCTTTATTAGCCTGTGTTTTAAGAGGCCTTTTAACTTTACAATTGTTTTGATAAACTCTCTAATACTTTACCAATATTTGACCACACTTTCTTAATTTTTTGGTGTACAACAGTTTGCTGCATCTACTTTTATTCTCTTTCTTACCTATTATCAACCTAGACTGCAACCCAGTCTACCATTTTCCACTACCCGCTTTATTAGCCTGTGTTTTAAGAGGCTTTTTAACTTTACAATTGTTTTGGTAAACTCTCTAATACTTTACCAATATTTGACCACACTTTCTTAATTTTTTGGTGTACAACAGTTTGCTGCATCTACTTTTATTCTCTTTCTTACCTATTATCAACCTAGACTGCAACCCAGTCTACCATATTCCACTACCCGCTTTATTAGCCTGTGTTTTAAGAGGCCTTTTAACTTTACAATTGTTTTGATAAACTCTCTAATACTTTACCAATATTTGACCACACTTTCTTAATTTTTTGGTGTACAACAGTTTGCTGCATCTACTTTTATTCTCTTTCTTACCTATTATCAACCTAGACTTCAACCCAGTCTACCATTTTCCACTACCCGCTTTATTAGCCTGTGTTTTAAGAGGCTTTTTAACTTTACAATTGTTTTGGTAAACTCTCTAATACTTTACCAATATTTGACCACACTTTCTTAATTTTTTGGTGTACAACAGTTTGCTGCATCTACTTTTATTCTCTTTCTTACCTATTATCAACCTAGACTGCAACCCAGTCTACCATATTCCACTACCCGCTTTATTAGCCTGTGTTTTAAGAGGCTTTTTAACTTTACAATTGTTTTGGTAAACTCTCTAATACTTTACCAATATTTGACCACACTTTCTTAATTTTTTTGGTGTACAACAGTTTGCTGCATCTACTTTTATTCTCTTTCTTACCTATTATCAACCTAGACTGCAACCCAGTCTACCATATTCCACTACCCGCTTTATTAGCCTGTGTTTTAAGAGGCTTTTTAACTTTACAATTGTTTTGATAAACTCTCTAATACTTTACCAATATTTGACCACACTTTCTTAATTTTTTGGTGTACAACAGTTTGCTGCATCTACTTTTATTCTCTTTCTTACCCATTATCAACCTAGGCATGGACAAATTATCTTCCCACGTCCTACAAGTTTTATTATACAACGTCTTACTGCATATGCATCTATTTCAATTCTTAGCTAGTTTCAATCTAAACTATTATTCTGTTTCCAAAATCTTGGTACTTTTTTAAAAAAAAATTTATTTATTTATTTTTTTTTTTTTATTTTTATATATTATCATTGCCTGTTCTCGTGTTTCTTCTGTTGTTGTTTTTGCGGTTGTGTGAGTTTGTTTGTTTATGCTGGTTTAGTTTATCAAGTTATACTTTGACAGTACCATCATCTCTGCATCATTAGTCACGGAGAGGGCCTATGAACGGTCCGTGACGCGAATAATAATTCGTCCTACACTGCTAGCGCGTTCTGAATAACGAACTCTCTGGCTTGTCAGTTGTGTCAACGCAATATCAAAAGATGCCGGTCTCAACCCGCGCCGAAACTGACACAACCTCTCTACTACCTGATCCCTTTTCTTCCAATCCTTCGTCCAACCATTCATATTCCGACTCTGCTTCCACCTGCCTCATATGCTTCGGTGTCTTCTCCACACACGATACTCTCCTTACGCATGTCGCGGCAGCTCATCACACAGTCTGCCCTCCACTTTCTACCCAACGTGATGTGCAACAACTATTATGTATTCTTTGTGCAGCGGTTTTTCCATCCAACAGAGGTTTATCACAACATATCCGCCATCGACATATCTGTGAATACAATGAAATGCTCCAACGACGAATCAAGTCTCAGCCCGTGTCACGCATATGGTCGCAGTATGATGATGCTTCGCTCCTGACGATCGCGGAACGTGAAGCTAAACATTTCCACACCAAAAATGACTTGTGCCAACATATATCAACATTAATGACACGTAGGACTGCTGAAGCCATTAAACGACGGCTCCTTCACCTTCACTGGACGAAACCGTCTACAGCAACCCCAGACGTCACTCTCAACACACCAAATACAGACCCTACTACGCCCCAGGTGCCGCCTACACCTATACTAAACACTGAAGCTGAAGAATCACGTCCCCCCGTTAACGACCCCCTAATAGACCTCAACCAAACCCGACTGATACTCGACACCACAACCTCGCCAGAAGTGTCACCGTCCCCACTACCGCAGCTTCGCGTCGTCTTAACACCTCTATCGTCCCCGACCCAACTGCAAAACCCTCCTCATGCAAATACAGCTCCCGACCTTATTAGAAACCCAGTGCGAATACTACAGAATTACAACTGTGACTTAGACGCTTCTTTTGAGATGTCTCCTCCGCGATTATTACACCTAGACATGGACAGGTATCAGTGTTCATCAGTCGAACAGGAAAAACTGTTAACAGCAGCAGTAGAACTCTTCCAAAATGAATGCACGAGAATAAGATCCTCCAGCCTACTTGCCTTCATACAGCGCGACATCATGAATATGAGCGCGGAGGATGTATACGCCTTCGTCAACAGCCATGCAGATACGGTTTTCCCCAGAACGTGGGTTCCCTCCAAACCTAGGTATCATTATCGCCCCCAATTAAACATTTCTCGAAAAAAGATGAGGAAAATCGCTTATGCACGTATCCAAACACTATTTCATCACCGTCCAAAAGATGCTGCCAACACTGTTCTTGATGGTCGATGGATGAAACAACCTGTTGCTAGCCCATCCGACATTCACAACTTTGACAGTTTCTGGACCTCTGTCATGACTAAACCCAGCACTGTGGATAACCGGGAAACCGTACAAATAGTCGACACCACCCCATCCCTGATCGAACCAATTCTTCCCTCGGACGTAGCATGGGCGCTGAAAGAAATGCATGGCACGGCCGCAGGAATAGACCGATTGACGTCGTATGACCTGTCGAGATTTGGAAAGAATAGTCTGGCCGGTTACCTGAACACGCTGCTTGCCCTAGCATGTCTCCCCACGAACTTGTCGACCTCACGAGTGACATTCATCCCTAAGTCACTAAATCCCTCACACCCCGAGGACTACCGCCCAGTGAGTGTTGCCCCAACGATCACAAGATGTCTACATAAAATTCTAGCCAGAAGATGGGTGCCGTTATTCCCCCAAGAAAGACTTCAGTTTGCCTTCCTGCACCGCGACGGTTGCTTTGAAGCAGTTAATCTTCTCCACTCAGTTATTCGGCACGTCCACACACACCACACAGGAGGTTCATTCGCCCTACTGGATATCTCGCGAGCATTCGACACAGTCTCGCACAATTCCATTATTAGAGCAGCGAAACGATACGGTGCGCCCGAACTATTGTGTAAATACCTTAGCAAATACTACAGTGACGCCACCAGCTGTCTCAATAACACAGAATGTCATCCAACATGTGGAGTTAAGCAGGGTGACCCACTTTCTCCACTACTTTTCATCATGGTCCTTGACGAAGTTCTGGAAGGTCTAGACCATATGACCCACCTGCAAATTGACGGTGAGGTTTTAAACTACATCGCCTATGCGGACGACCTCGTGGTATTCGCTCCAAATGCAACGCTGTTGCAACAGAAACTGAACCGCATCTCTACACTTTTAAACGACGCGGGATGGTCTGTAAACCCTGAGAAGAGTCGAACGTTAGACCTGATTTCTGGGGGCCACAACAAACTTACGGCTCTTGCACAAACAGAATTCACCATAGCCGGAACGCGTATTCCGCCATTAACCGTCTCAGACTCCTTTAAATATTTAGGGATACAGTTCAACTTTAAAGGTCGGTGCCCCGTTGATCATATCGAATCACTAAACAACTACCTTCTAGAAATTACACGCGCCCCCCTTAAACCGCAACAACGAATGAAAATATTAAGAGATAATCTACTGCCTAGATTACTCTATCCCCTGACTCTAGGAGTAGTTCATAAGAATACGCTGAAATCTATGGACCGGACGATACACGCCGCTATTAGAAAATGGTTAAGACTACCTTCGGACACCCCACTGGCGTACCTCCACTCCCCAATTGCCGCAGGCGGTCTTGGTATACCACACTTGACTTCACTAATTCCGCTCCACCGCCGTAAGCGACTTGAAGCTCTATTATCGGCACCCAACCGACTGCTACACAAACTACCCACGTCTCAGGCCCTAGCCTCATATTCTCATCTTGGCCAGATGCCGGTCCGTATTGGACAAGTAAGTGTGACTTCGAAAGAAGAGATATCTCATTGCTGGGCGAGACAACTGTACTTATCCAACGATGGGAAGGGTCTTGTTCTAGCACAACACAGTAAGGAATCACATACATGGTTACGCTGCCCCCAAACCATATTTCCTAGTGTATACATCAATGCGGTGAAATTGCGTGGTGGATTACTACCTACCAAAACAAGAAGATCTAGAGGTGGTAGGATAGTGAATGACCTGCGATGTAGGGGAGGATGCAATCACCACGAAACCATCCAACACATACTGCAACATTGCTCGTGTACCCATGATATCAGATGTAAGAGACATAATGACCTATGCAAACTTGTTGCAAAGAAGCTTCGCAGACTAGGAATCACTTTCTTAGAAGAGCCGTGCGTACCCCTGGAAACGACCTACTGTAAACCAGACTTTATCATCATACGTGATGGGATCGCCTATGTCATGGACGTAACTATATCGGACGACAGTAACACTCAAGCGAGCCGTTTGTTAAAAATTTCAAAATACGGCAATGAGCGTACTGTGGCTTCGATTATACGCTTCCTGTCATCCAGCGGCCATAATGTTTCCAACATCAGACAAACCCCTATCGTCCTAACATATAGAGGGATCCTCGAGAAATCAAGCTCTCAATCACTCCGACGTCTTTGCTTCTCATTCCGGGATCTTGGAGATCTATGCACGAACACAATCCAAGGCTCAATCAAAATCTATAACACTTACATGAGAGGTACTCAACGTTCATATACATAACTTCATTCTTTCTCAAACGCTACTCTGTTCATTGTTGTCTGTCTTCATTATTTCTTGTTAATCAGCTGATGCCATCTATGCTTCTTTGCCTGCATGTCTTCGTTCCATTTGTCCGTTTTCCTCACCTATCCAAGATAGTAATTGAGTTACCCTTCTGTTTCTCAGTGTTCCTGTTGGTTTGTTTTTCTCTTTTTTTTTCTCTTTCTCTCTCTCTCTTTTGTTTCTTCTCTTCTAATGTTGATTGCTTCATTGAATTTGACTGGTCTTCATTGTTCGATTGGTTAATTATGTTAGCACACGTCAGTGTTTGACTCCCCGGTATTTGGTGTTCCAACATGCTTCTGAAAATCTGCTCTATTGTTTCACCATTTATTAACACTTCAATTTGATTATTTCTATTATTACCTTTATTATTAGTAATAGTATCACTACTCTTCTCCACACTATTTAAATTCAGTATTATTCACTTGATGCTCTCTCTACAACCCCTTTATATACTTAACATCCATGTTTTCGATATTAATGAGAAAACATCTTTTGTAAATCTTAAGTATTTCATTTTGTTCCAAACCCATTTGGGCGTGTACAATT